CACCACCTCGTAGCGCTTGGATGCAACCTCTTCAATGAGACCGCAGGTACCAATTGGAGGAATAGAGAAGACGGCACTCGCCACACGGGTGTGGTCCGTCTTTCGCGGAGTGGTACCAAAGATGGTATCCACAAGGGCAGCGGCTTCATTTATGGCCACGGGTGTCAACATGACACGATTTGTGACGTCACCGATGGCGTAAATGTTGGAAACATTCGTGCGCGAGTACTCGTCCACCTGCACACCACCGTTCTTGATCATGACACCGGCGTTTTGCAGCTGTAAATCCTTGGTTCGGGGAGAACGGCCAATCGCCATCATGACAAGATCAAAGTCCATCTTTTTGCCGCTCTCAAAAGTAACACTTTTGCTGCCATCCGCGTTCAACTCCACCTTGGCCGGATTTTCCTTCGTAAGGATTTGAATGCCGTTGGCGGTGAGCTGCTTTGTGAGTTCCTCACGGAGAGTGTGGTCAAAGCCACGAAGGATCATTTCACCGCGGTAGCACAACGTCACTTGTCCGTCCTTCGGCTTGTAGGCGTTAAAAATGCCTGCAAACTCCACGGAAATGAAGCCTCCGCCGACAGTGAGGACACGACGCGGTGGCTCCGGCAGGTAGAATGCCTCATTGCTGCTGATGCAATGCTCAATACCAGGGATGTTTGGCATGTGCGGCCACGACCCACTGGCAAGTAGAATGTGCTCCGTCTCCAGGCGCTCCTTCACTGCGCTGGCCGGGTCGGCACTCTCGCGAACATTGACGACATTCTTTGACTCCAGTGATCCCCAGCCCAGGAAAAACTCCAGACCCTCCGTGTCCCGAAACATCTCCTCATAACTCTTGTTGATATTCAGCACCGCCTCGTCCTTGACAGCAATAAGTTTCTTCCATTCCGCTCTGAGAGTGGTGCGATCAAACTCCCACCCGAACCCAGCAGACTCGCGTAGGTGTTCCATGTATTGGGCCCCTGTAACCATCAATTTCTTCGGAACGCAGCCAACATTGACACACGTGCCGCCTAGAGCAGAAAAAAACGGGGGCCCGTGAACCATCTGAACATCAATCACCGCAACCCGCTTTTTGTAGAGTGTCGCCGCGTTCCAAGCAGCCTCCAGTCCGCCCGAGCCGGCGCCAATGACAACCAAATCAAAAATTTTTGACATCATGATTCTTGTAGAATATTGTAAGGGGGAAGCAATCGTTTTGGATATAGTTTCAAAAATAAAAAAATAAAAATAAAAATAAACGTAACGGTAAAATAAGTGTTGCTCTTATAAACTATCTATTTATCATAATTATACAGATAAAGAAAAAAAAAAAAAAAAAAAAAAAAAGAGAGAAAAAAAGAAAAAGATAACGCGAAAAGAGCGAGCAAAGGTAAAAAAAAAAAAAAGGCACCCCACACATCCAAGTACCATCTCTTCCTGCTCACTTTCTCCAGTAACTGTTCCTCCATCGCATTTTGTTACTTTCATACTACCACATCCATTACTGTGGGACCTACTTGAATACACCGCGCGGCATCTTCGGCCCGTTCAACGGGAATGGGGTAATATCCTCAAAGTAACGAACGTGAAATTCATTGGCGCGATCCTGCACTGCCCGCACCGCCCCCTGTCGACCGTTGTAAAAGCCCATAACTCGCACAACAAGTTCAATTTTCTCACCCCGTCCAATGGGCCGTCCTTCGTTTGCTCGCAACTCCCGCACCTTTGGCAATAAATCGTTCAGGTACATGCTTGTCACTTGATGGCCGTTGTCTGTAGAGCCATCGCTTCGGAAGCCACGATCGCCACCCTTCAGGCCTCTGTTACCCGCAGTATACGTGGAAAGAATACGCTTTCCCTCATACGTGTACGCCACCGCGTAGGTGTTACGCCGACGTGAAATCAAGTAAAGAAAAACCATGTCACGTGTGTACTTTGGCATCTCCCCCCACATATCGAGTTGATTGTAGTCCGTCACCCCTTGAGGCATTTCGCTTTGTTTGACAAGGGAATAGCCAAAACGACTCTGAAAATAATCATTTCCAAGGACCCGCGGTGGTATGTCATGCTCCTTTGCACCTCCCGCATCTTCAGTTGGCACTGCCGCATCGGCCCCTGTTTGAAGGCGACGTCTTTCTTCTTCCTCATACCAAATTCGTTCGCTAAACACACGTTGATGTTGTACCGCATCCCCCTCCACCAGCCGATGCATCTCCTCCCGTATAGCATCCGAAGAGCTGCGAGCTGACATGCGTTCCCAATCCATCTGCGGGAGCTGCGCAGCAATTTCAGACTCCTTTTTGTCTTCACCATCCTCAACATCGCGCCGCATCAGTCGGTCGTTTGTAAAACGAATAAGAAACTGATTGAAGAACTGCTGTCCGCCCTGTTGTGGCTTCAGCAGTGCCGGTACACGGCGATATTTGTCGGGAAACATGCCGGCCCGTGGTCGAGGTTTACCTCGACGCAGCAAGGCAAGTGACTGACGCATAATTCAAGTCTATCTCCCCCCTATCACACCCTCAATTTTTTTCCACGACTACGTAAAAAAAAAGAAAAAAAAACACCTTTGTTTACAAAGAGAAAGGGTAGAGGAAACAATTCGCAAAACAACATACAACCCAGAGGGAAGGCGGTCTAACAAAAAAAAAAAATGGCACATACGTAAAGAATTCAACGGCCCGCATTTGAATATTTTCTCACCTCCACTTCCTCCTTCTTTTTTTTCTTTTGCCGCTCTTCCTTCTTTGACTCCGATATGATTCTTCTCTCCGTATATGAGCGTTATGCACTCTACACACCACGCAGCTGGTACTTATCCCCAATTTGTAGGATTACACCCACCTCGTTCAGCTGGTGCAGCATGGCGTTGGCATTGCGGCAGCCGGCCTCTTCACAGGCGGAAAGAACAACTGGGTACGGAAGGGCATTGACACCCGTACGACAGACCTCCGCCTTGAGAGCGTTGATAATCATCTCCCGCTGACTCATCTTTTTAGCGGCCGCGGGACGAACAGACAATGTGTGTGGGTTGCCGCGCAAACTCCCAGAGCATTGCCGCAACAACTCCACGGCGTACTCTGCATCCTCCGCTGTTACCTCGTGACGAAGTTCAACTTTGGCACGCGCTTCCGCCACGCGAATCAGGGCTTGTAAGAACCGTGGTGTGACGGCCAACTCATCGTCTTTTGTCTCTGCGCGGCTCTTCAGATAGTGTGACTTCAGTACTTCGCTCGCGTCCTCGCGGAGAGAAGGATGGCAGTGATGACGGCAAAAGGCCACGAAACGCTGCACCAACTCGACCGGAAGTGTTATTCCCCCAGATTTACATCCTGCAAGACGTGCCCCGGCCTCGTCGTGTCGACGGTGCAACCGCATGACATGCTCCGAAAGGGACGGGTACACTCTGTGTGTGGGTCGCGTAAACACACGACAATGTCAAACCTACTGAGAAGCGCGGGAGAAAGGTTGAGATTCGCTGTCACTGCCTT